TTGTAGAAAGAATCACCCCTTATTTCAGTTGAACACGATTTACAGTCTTCATAGATAAAACATGCATCCCAAATAAAAATCACATTTGATTCCATTTTAAGAAGACAAATTAAATCAATCTTAATAGAAAACATACATCCCAAATTAAAACTGAAGTGTGTGACATTGTAATTATTCATTAAATTCCCAACATAAACCTAGAATGAATGCTCTTCACTAGAACACATTAATATTGATAGAATACATCCCAAGTTAAATGTAACGTGTTTCAAAATTATTTGTTCTCTATATCATAACATAATTGTATAATGAAAATTTCTATTATATGTAAAATAATAATAATAATAATTATTATAATAAATAAATATACATGGCATTTATGCCAACTTGTACATGAATAATTTCCTATTATAGCTCAACTCCATTTGTACGTAGAAATGGCAATCATCTAGTGTCGTAGACAATCCAATCTACCTGCAATCACAACAATTTAACTTGTAGTTTAAATTTAAAAATTATAAATTTTTAGAACTCTTAATATAAGCTTAGAATCTTAGTTACCGTACCACCCTTTACAAACTTTGCATAATCATTCCTAGACTCCAAACAATGTTAGAGGTACATATGCCGATCTTCGATTAAATTTTTTGGCCACTCAAGTCTAAGTATTTGCTCTATTGCACCGTAACATTCCCATGTCGTCGTCCATTTAAAATCTAAAATGGTTAGCTATCAAGACTAATATCCATGAATATGAGACACACACACACACACACACACACACACACACACGAGACTGAGCATATAAAGATCCTTTTGTTGGTAACTAACACACATATACACAAGACTGAGCATATAAAGATCCTTTTGTTGGTAACTAACAACAAATGATATGCCTGAAACTAATGTGGTCCATGTTAATAGAAGGTTTTAAAAGGGATAGACATTGATCATAAAAATACCTAATATTTAACATTATTTGCACAAAAAAATACAAGATAAAAGAATATTGATTGGAGACAATTGAACATAGTATAGCAAAAAATAATCATGATTATAAACTACACATAAGATAAAGGAAAGAGTAGCACCGGTCAGCTAAAACTCAATATTTTAAATTTATAGGACTGAAAATTCAAATACCAAAGTTTTTAATACATTGAAATATAAATCAAAATATGGTATGAGAGACATGTAACAAAAATCATCATAGATGGAATCAAACATAACATAACATAAATAAATAAATAAATAAATGATATGTAAACCTAAGAAATCAAACACATGCAAAAGAAATCAAAATATGAAATATAAATTAATGCACGCAATAGAAATCAAAGGTGCCATGAAAGAAACATGAAGTTAATATTACCTTCACCAATTAACTAATTTTGTTGCTTCATAAGAATGCGTACAAAAATGAACACATTAATTTTAGAAAAAAAATAAAATAAATGGTAACTAATACAGAGTTAATATTACATTCATCAATTAACTGATAAAAATTTGCATAAAAATGCAAACAAGAATGAACACTTAATTTTAAAATTGAAAAAAAAAAAAAAAAACAAAAAAAAAAAGAGGAAGAAAATTATTTCTTTGGACTTTTTTTTACAGACTTAGTTTTTTGTAAAAGAACTATCTTAAAAATATATATATTAAATAAGGGAACTTGTTTACCTGTGTGGATAACATATATATAGTCTCCAATTCTATATACATGAAGCTACTGATATAACATTTACCGAATAAATTAAAATAATGATAGCTATAGTAACAATAATAATAATAATGCCACCATCAATCTTATTATAAATCAAATAATAAAACCTTAAGCCAAGAAAGTGACAAATTTGTTATCTAGAGTAAAGTAAAAAAATTTGGTGCATAAATTAGTCTTGCTCTAAAAGCTTAAAAAAGAAATGATTGAAGAATTGAAACAATATATATACATTCGATACTAGCACTGCCTATAGGATATAGGCCCCAAAATTAAATTTTATGTGACTTAGCTCTCAAACTTAAAATCAACTCATTGAACAAAACTAATGCAATGCAACCAGTATATAAAAAAATAAATAATAAAAATAGAAGAAAGTTGGAAATATAAATTCAATCTTAATTGGTTTACAACATATAGTCAAACAAGTCATTCAATACATATTTTTCTAATGAAATTAATTCCATGAGTAATTGAATGATAACACTTTCATCCTTCCTTGACGGCTGAGAAAGCTTACCCAAAGAAATGAAACAATAGTACTAACTTGCTGATTTATTTTTCCTTTCACCGAAAAATCAAAGAATTAGGAATTGAAAGAAATTTAGATTTCCTTTTTGTAATCTTTCTACTGGTTTCTTAGTAACCAAATGAAGTTGCTAACTAAATATAAGATTAAAAAAGAAAGATAAAAATATAATGTGAAAGAAGCAAGAGAAGTTTAGCCTTTAAATTGCTATTAAAGGACTAAGTTGCAGTCGTCTTATCTTACTGCAAACCACTGAACCAAATGATCAAATGATGATATGATTGCAAATGTTGAATGTTACAATATTGAATTTTTAATTATTAAATTAAGGAACAAGACCTAGAGAGCAACTACAATCGAAAGAGGGCTAAACATGGATAAATTTAACCTCATAATGAAAATTAAGGTTCTCTTCAAAAAAGGCTACATATGCCTACCATGTGCCATGATTTACAAGCACCTAAATACCTCTTTGAACATTCATCCTTACCATAAGTGAAAATCATGAGTCTCTAATCGACTGACTAAAATTATTATTGGAATAGTATTCTTAAGGCACTTTCTATTATTATGAACATAAGACCAGTTTCTCTATTAAAGCAACATAAACAACAAACCAGCACTACTAACATATGATTTCAATTTATGTGATAAGACTAAAGAAAGTCGAAGAGTGATCATTTTTCTACCTTGGCGCTAGATTTACATTTATTTCCATTGTGACTTGAAACTGATGCCTTTGCTCGTTTCTTCGTTGCCCCTGTCATAACTTTAAAAATTGTTGGAAGATCATTTTATGATATTGAAGAGACGTTTCCTGCCTCAAAAACAACAAAATGTCAATGGAGGGATGAAACCATAGAATACCGCAACCCATGGGAAAAAAGCAAGAAACAATTTGGCCATAGTTGGCAAAACTTCATAAACCCAAATACAAGACTTTTGTGCTTATTTTTTTGACGCCTCAATTTTAGCCATTTAAAACCCTATAACACCACAATACCACAACAAACTTCTGCGATTTACACCAAATTTAACCAAAAAAGTGGAGTCAAGGTAACCAAACAAGCAAGGCTTTCAATAGAGAGAAGAAGATTGTTGTGTATTTAAAAGGACACAAAATTCGAGTGCTTCAATATGTACCAACCACCTCTACAGCAATAAACCAACAATAATTCATATGAACACCCAAAAGGATCACCAAATTATTTGGAAATAAACTACAAGAATTGAAAGCATAGAACATAAGATTAAAAATTGAAACAATTTATGCGACCAGACCTCTAATATGCATCAACAACCTTTGCATCAATTATGAACAAAATTTTAAGTATAAACACAAAAAACGAACACAAATTTAATTGGAAATAAACTACAATATATTTGCACCAACCACCTCCGCAACAATAAAATAAATCAAATTAACTACAACAGTTAAAATGATAGAAAAGAAGAACAAAAACAGAAACAAATAAAATGACCAGTCATATGCAATGAGAGCAGTTTTGGGATTAAAAGTAGGCAAACTTCTATGCGCCATATATTATGCAAGCAAGACTTTCTCGAGAGCTCAATTGAATTACTCCACTACCGAGAAAGAATTACTTACCGTAGTATATGCTCTTGGTAAATTCTGGTCCTATCTCTTACGGTCTAAAGTCATTGTCTATTCTGATCATGCTGCTTTAAGGCATTTTCTTACCAAGAAAGAAACAAAACCTCATTTGATATGATGGATTTTGCTTCTTCAAGAATTTGATTTCGAGATCAAGGATAAAAAAGGCACCAAAAATGTTGTTGCCGATCACCTTTCGAGGTTAATGGTAAAATCTTCCCCAAGTCCACCAATTCGTGATTCATTTCCGGATGAACAACTTTTCTTAAAGTAGATGGTGAGAATTTGAGTTTCTAAAAGAACAAAATGAGTGTGTATATATTTGTCATTGGTAAGAAATTTACACACTCATATTTGTCATTAGTAAAAAATTTACACACTCATTTTGTTCTTTTAGAGACTCGAATTCTCACCATTTACTTTATGCACCAACTGCCTCTGCATCAATTATCAACAAAATTTGAAGTATAAACACAAAATACGAACAAAAAATTAACTGGAAATAAACTACAACAAGCGAAATAATATCAGATAAGAAAAAAAGGAGACCAATTTTATCTGATTTTGGGGAGCGACGATCCGACCAGATGAACACCCAAATAAAGACCAAGTTGATTTGATCAACCTAATATTTCCAATATGAACACCCAATCAAACGAATGAAGACTAAGTTCACAAGCAACTACCAAAGATTCAGTTCTTTTCTCTTCTGATTCTCCTGCATTCCCCACTTTCGTGTTCAGATTTTTCACATGTCTTCCCCACTTCTACTTCCACTTTCACGACCTAAAAAATTTGGGAAGGAAAATGATAAGGGTATTTTAGACTTTTTGAAATATAAAATAAGAATATTTTGGTAAAATTCTTTATACGGATAATTACGAAGTATTTCAGAAAATACATGAAATATATATATACACTATTCTCTCATACACAGTTAAACTTTTGTTACTATTTTTTTTTTTATTGAAGTGGCCCAATCTGAGCCACACATCCAAACAGGAGGGAACATGAACAGGAGAGGATTTTTGCCCATCTTTCTATGCGAGTGCATATACAGTATATGTACTAAACCCTCGAAATAAACCCTGATTTCCCCCGCCCACAAACCAAAGCTCTCTACGATTTGTGCAACCATGTCAGCCGCCCTCACCGCTGCCAGGTCCGTCGTCCGCTCCAACTCCGCCCGATGCACAGCGACGAGACTCACCGCTGGAGCTAAACCTAAACCCGCACGTTCTCCCTTTCGCACCCCCACGCAGAAACCACTCCCTTCTCGCATTTTCAGGTCAGGCCTCTTATATATACACACGTGTACGTTTATATTCTCATAAACTATACTGTATCTCTATACCATTCATAAGTAAGTCAATTTTTTGATTGAATTTCAGAAATGATTTATCCAGTATATTAAATAGGTCTCCATTTTTCTTTTTTCTTTTTTTTTTATTGTTGCAAAAACAGGTCTCCAGTTGAGACGAGCTGCGCCGTTGAATCGATGCTTCCATTCCACACCGCCACTGCCTCTGCATTACTCACTTCGATGCTCTCTGTCTCTCCTCGGAGCTATGGTTTGACTCTTGAAGGTACTGTTACTTAATTTTCCTTAAGTTATATATGATATAATTTGTTTATTTGTTTCCGTATATATGGACGTAGGCATCTTTTTTGTTCGCTAAGATGATTAAGGCTTAATTCTAAATTGGTCAATGATCTGATTACAAATATAATATATTGTGTTTTGAATTTCTGCTGTTATGTCTTATTGTAAGGTTGTTCATTTGACAGAATTTTCAATTGCATATTTGTTTTTTATTTAAAAAATCATAATGCAACATGAGAAGAATTATTATCAGAACTAGAAGTTTTATTTATGTATATGTCTTGCCATTAGATTATTCCTTTATGGTTTACCTTGATTTTCTTCTTTATACATTAGATAGCTACATTGCCACTGGTTGGTAGTAGGTCAATGGAACATGTCTTAGCATTGTGGAGGGTTTCTGGGTTTAAATAATATTTCGTTAGTATTTGTTGCATGTCAACATTAGTCCAGTTCAAGGAAACACTCTAAAATCACCACAATTTTATGAAATTGGACTCCTCTATAAAAGATCAGAAATAAAGGGTGTGCATGCCCAATCTTAATGTTTCTTCTTAAAGCTTTTTGCATATTCAGAAAGGTTAATAGAAAATTTGACATGCAGCACAATAATAAAAGCTAATACGAAACATGACTTGTGAAAAATCACAGTTGCCATCTGATTAATTTTTGTTGGAAGATATTTAAAATCCTTGAACACAAGCTGTTGATGCAATATTATGCTGCGATTGGGTACAATATCGTATCTACAAAGAACGAAGAATTCAACTAAAAAAGACCGATCGAAGGGACTCCGACGATCAAGTTAGTACTAAGCGGAAAAAGAGGAAAAAAGACTCTTATGAGATCTGACTAATTTGTGTCGTACCTCTTAGGTTGACCGACCCCTCCTTTTATGGGGGATCTCGGTAGTAGTGCCCACGTTCAACACGAAATAGGATCAAATAGTTGTCTTTATCATTAATCATGTGTTAGGATCTCTCTCTATGTATTGTAAAAATGTCAAGGTGTAAGGTGGAATAATAAGCTGCAAATCATGCATTTACTTCTAATTACTAAACATTACACTATTTAGTCTTCCTTTTTTTTCTTTTTTTTTTTGTTCTTTTTTGTTCTTCTTCTTCTTTTCCTTTTTCTTTTCCCATGTTTTAGTATTGAGCTTTGATATCGATTCACGGTGAGAGTTCCATCACCCCCCCCCCCTATTTCATTCTGTTGAGTTTTAATTTTATTTATCAAAAGGTAAGAAAGTATTTTGTTACTTTTTTTTTTTTTTTTTTTTTCTCTCTATGCCTTCCATGATTCCATCTACTCGAGTTAAGTGTTATCTTTTTCTTCATTGATGTCCATGACTCTATGCATACCTCAGTAATTGGTAGGAGGCCATGAGGAGATGTGCCAGATTTAACATGCATTAGTTGTTTAATTTTGAATTCAATCCATTTTGAGCAAACTTTTTATGTTTTATTTCCTAATTATGCATAGTTTTTTTCTTTCTTTTCATCAAGGTACTGTATTAAAATTCATTTCTTTCTTTTCATCCATTGTTAGTTATTTATCTACTGAACTACTTGTTTGCATATGCATAATTTAGTTGTCATTTAAGCACTATATGAGGATTCCTCCACCCAGCATGACAAGATACTATTACACAGCTCGTGGATTGTGGTTCTTAACTAACATTGCTAATCAAAATCCTGTTATCACACCATTAATTCACCTTTTTTTTTTTAATTTTAAAGATGAAAAAAGCAAAAAAATGGAGGAGAAAAGAAGATATGAGAACAAATTATCTGGAGAAGAAATGGATAGTTCATTTTATCTAAAAATAATCTGGGGTGTGCTTGCTTGTTCAATTATGTAGGATTTGGATTAAGGAAAAGCAGTTTTTGATTCTTTTTAGGGTTTTTATAAAAAAAAATCTTTTTGTTCGAATGTCTACATAAACAATAATGTTATGATTCTGCTTCTCAAAAATACACCCCAAAAACTGTTAGGATATGTGTGCCCTAGCATAACAAATTCTAATTTTGGATTGTAAAAGTCATGGTTTCTTATCTGGATATTATTATTAAAGCATTATACAATTGGTGAATGGAATGTATTATTTTTCGATTCATTATGGAATTGATTGTATCCACTTGATTACAAAATATATTTATATATGTATGTAATGGCAATTAATACTATGTTATAAATTAGTAATCATAAATGGTTTAAAGTCGGTAATTATGGATGGACATTTAATTAGTTAAGACTTAAACCGAGTCCACGATAGATTGAGATATATTGCGAGAGCTGTCGTATGCAATTGCTCTCTATCACAGTCATCGCTTTTGACTCTCAAGTATTAGAGAAGTATAGACTCTTTTATTAATTAATAATTACTTTGATTTGTTCGGCGGATACCTCGGGATCCTTAGATCGACACTTTGGGTAGTTATGTAATTAATAATTAGAGGTCTATATTCTCAATATTTGCATCAGTGCTATTTGTATTTATTTTGTTTTGATTATGGTTGATCACAAATTAAATGCGAAGGCCTTCGTATGTTTTAGACAAATGTTTTCTATATATATTTATTTAATAAATTATTATTATTTTTTTGTCAAATAAATATTTTATTGTGATCGAGCCAGAAATAATCAAAGGTAACAAAATAATTATATTAATTATGTTGTCAGATTGATGGCTTTAATTATCCGATAAATAATTAAGCATAGAGGGGTAAAAGTACAACATTGACTTAGAGGTTATTTACTATTTAATTGGAGTGCAATTAATTTCTTTTAGTGGAGTAGAAATTAATTTATGAATTAATTGAATTGGGTCCATGGTTTAATGGACCGGACCAATTATTAATTTATAGGAGCCAAAAAAAAATAGTAAGCTCAAAACGATTCTTACCAATAGCCCAAGTTGATATTGGAGTCATGTTAGAATTGAGAAAGTTGAATTAGAGATGGAGAATGATTTATTGTTTCCTTATTCTTATTTTTATTTTGCCTATATATACATGAGTTCATGTATATTTTAGGGGTGACTTTAAGAATAAGAAAAATGAATACACTTTCTCTCTCTAGATTTTAGGGTTTTGTTTTCTCTTCTAAATGAGGCTACCACAAGCCTAGATTCTAAGGTCATTCATTAAGGCATATTGGTGATTCCTAAAGGGAAGATAATAATCAAGAAGAGGGAGAAATGATCTTGCTAAAGGGATCTACAATAAGTGAGAACATTCACTTTAGAGGAAAGTTCAAAAGGTTTACTCAGACCTTTGATGTAAGTATTCAATCTGTTTTTTGAATTATACATCATCTTTTATTTATCTTTGCATAAAACTTGTCTCTATGTGATAAATCAAGATCCATGATTGCAAATCCCTCAAAATTTTTAAAAACTTGCACGTTTCCCAACAGTGGTATCAGAGCACATGGTTTGATTCATTACTAGAGAACATGTGTTTATAAAAATCATATTCATGGATCCAAATTATATATACATATATAAAATTATTGATATATGTTGATGTATGATTGATTATGTTGATATATATTAATACATGATGATGTATGTATAATTGTGAATGGATGATGATGTGTGTTTGGGCCACGGATGAAGCTTATAGGTTTATAGAATGTAATTTTATTTTTGGATGAATGTAATTAAGGCTTTGTTTTAGCCGTTTGAAAATTCAATGATGTAATTTAATTTTTTCCATTGTATTTCAAATTGTAAGTATTTATTAAAGCCATGTAATATTCATCAAAGGATGTTATAAAGCTTCAAGAGGGTCCGAAAGGGTTAAATTATGCTTCAGTAATTTTCTGGAATTTTTCTGAATTTTTCAGAATTTTTCTGGAATTTTTTTGAGGCTTAATTTAATTTTTTGGAATTTTTCGAATTTTTTGGAATTTTTTCTGTGTTTTTCCGGTGGCCGGAGCTTCGCCGGCGGCGAGAAGGGGCGCCGAAGGTGGCCCGGATCAGATGCGGCGCAAGTGGGTGAGCCTGGCGCGGGTTCCACACGCGTCAGGAAAAGGCACATGCTGGCGTGTGCATTGCACACGCCAGCCAAGGAGGTTTTGTCCTCCACGCGCGTGAAGGCGAGTGAGGGAGCGTCCCACGTGCCCCAAGCGCGTGCCGGCACGTGGGGGCACGTGGGAGCGCGTGCCGAGTCTTGCAGCCTGCCCTAGGCGCGTGCCAACGCATGTGGGGTCCTCCGGGCTCGTTCCAAGCGGCGTTTTGCTTCTCCTGACACGTACAAGCTTCCTATGGGTGTTTACAGACAGTTAAAGGACGCCCGTACAGCAAGAATAGTTTTAAAATGTTAAAAGCTGAATCCATTAGCCATTTATATTGCTTGTGTCTGTTATTTGATGCATGGAATAATTTAATGCTTATTATAATTGTTCATGCATTGGATCCATGATTTTTTAACTAAATGGCTTGATTTATATTAATTAAATTATGAAGATAAATTGGATTAGATTGCTAATTAATTTGAGGGCATTTATTGGGAAATAGAAAAATTATTTTTGTAAATTATTTTTTGCCTCAAATTAAATATTAGTGAATCATTTAAAATCCATATATTTTCTAAATTTAATTGGATTAAAATCAAGGTGTTTCGCATGCATTAAATCATGAATTGAAAACTCTAGTTTTATATTATTAAAAATTGAGTGGGAGCGGGGATTTTTTATACATTATCCCGTGGCCTTTGTAATTATAACCATTATGATTAGATCTTTAAAAATAAGGTTCCACGCATGATTTAAAGAGTCTAGATTACAAGAATGGTTGTCTCACGAAAATATATTTATTAAATAACCATTATAGTTAGATCTTTAAAAATAAGGCCCTACGCATGATTTAAAGAGTCTAAGCTATTAATGGCAATATATTTAATATTTGTTTTTTCGTTGGAGTATTAATTATGTTATACACTCAATCTAAAATCAATAGTATTAGCTCTCCAACGG